CAGAGTCTAACCAGGCCTTTACAGACAAGAGTATCCAGTGTTTTCTCTGCACAGTTAGTTTCATTAAATAGACTTTAGATTATGCACATATATATATATGTATACAAATAAACAGACATGTACATATGTGTTCCATACCCATATGCACATATACACACATGTATTCCCTCTCTTATGACGAGAATGTACTGTATGGTGGGCACACAAGGTTTTTTTTTGTTTAATGCAATAAATAATCTTTATTTTCTCTCTATATTTATTATTTTGCTGCTAGAGATCAAACGCAGGGCCTTGGGCATGACAAGTGAGTGGTTTCCCACTGAGTCATGTTTTCAGCTGTCTTTATGGATGTATACTCTGTGAATAGAGAGACCTGTTTATGCAAGTATATCCTGTACTTTGACCATATAATAAATGCATAAAGTAATATGTATATTATTTTATACATCTATATAAAAATCCAGGATGCACAAATGAAAGAAAACATTCAATATCTGTCTTTCTGAGTCTGTCTTGTGTTCACTTAATCTGGTGATCTCTAGTTGTGTCTATTTTCTTGCAAACACCATCATTTACTTTTCTTTATCAGTGAACAAAATACCATTTTGCATGTGTATGTGTATGTTTGTATGTGTGTGTATGTATGTGTATGTATGTGTGTGTGTGTGTGTGTGTGTGTGTGTGTGTACTACATTTTCTTTATCGATTCCTCTGTTGACAGAACACCCAAGCTGATTCCACAACTTGACTATTGTGAGATGCTGCCCTAACATGAATATCCAAGTATCTCTGGGGTATATGGGTTTGGAGTCCTTCAGGTATTCAGTAAGTGGTACAGTTGGGTCATATGGTAATTCTATTATTATTATTATTATGGTTTTTTTTTTTGGTTTTTCAAGACAGGGTTTCTCTATGTAGCTTTGTGCCTTTCCTTGATCTCACTCTGGTGTTTGTTTGTTTTTCTGAAGTGCCTCTGTATTAATTTCTAACTGGCTAAGCTAATTTTATACTCTCAGTGACTACACACACACACACACACACACACACACACACACACACACACACACACACTTCTTTATTCTTGAATCCTCAAAGGACTTGATGTTTTCTGAATGAGAGCCATTCTGACTGCGGTGAGATGGCATTCATTGTTGTTTTGGCGTGAATTCTGGTGGCTGAGGAATTGAACCTTCCTTGAATGCCTGTTGGTCTTTGGTACTTCAGCTTCTGGAGCTGTGCTCATTTTCTTAGTTTGTTGATTGTGTTGTTTGGTTTTCTAGTATTTAGTGTTTTGAGTTCTTTATACATTCTAGCTATTAATCTGCTGCCACACGTACAGGTGAGAAAGCTTGTCTCCTGTCAGGTTTTGTTTTTGTTTGTTTGTTTGTTTTTACTTAATTGTTTCTTTGGTTGCACAGAGGCTTTTACATTTCGGATGAGCCTAGTTTTCAGTTGCTAGTATTGATTCCCATGCTAGCAGAATTCTTTTCAGAAAGCCTTTGCCTAAAGCCGTATCTTGAAGTGTTTGGTTTGTGTTTTCTCTAGTCATTTATTTCAGAATTCAGGTCTTTCATTAAAGTCTTCGTTCCAATGCTAATTGATTTCTGTGTGAGGGAAGAGATAACTACTCAGTTTCGTTCTTCTCTATGTGGATATCCAGCACCATTTGTTCACGAGGCTGTTTTCACTCCAATGTATGTTTATAGAATGTATCTTTGTCAAAAATCAGGTAGCCGTTGTTGTGTGGGTTTATTTCTGGATCCTCTATTTTATCCACCGTGTGTGTGTGTGTGTGTGTGTGTGTGTGTGTGTGTGTGTGTGTGTGTGTACGTATGTACTTACGTACCAGTAACATGTTGTTTTTATTATATGGCTCCATAGTGTATATTGAAATCAGGTTTGTGATGCTTTTAGCTCATTCTTTTTGCTCAGGGTTGCTTTGGCTCTTAGGGATCTTCTGTACTTACAAAATTTTATAATTTTTTTTTTTAGTTTTGTGAAGAATGTTAACGGAATTTTGATGAGGATTGCCTTGAAGCTATAGATTACTCTCAGTAATATAGCCAGTTTCCAATATTAAGTCTACCAATCCATGAACAAAGGAAGTTTTTCCATATTCTAGTGTCTTTGATTTCTTTCTTTGGTATTTTAAAATTAGCAGTGTAGAAGTCTCATTCTACTGTCTTGGTTAGATTTAGTCTAAAGTTTTATTTTTTAAAGCTGTTGTGAATGGATTTTTAAAAACTTTCTTTCTCAGGGTGTTCATTATTGGATACAAAGTCTGCTGACTTCTGTGTCGTTTGCCTCCTGCCCTCTGCCCAGTATTTATGGGTTCTAAGAGCTTTCGGGAGCTTCAGATGCATTCGGGAAGGCTCATACATGAGATCATGTCATCTTCAAATTGGGATAGTTTTACTTCTTTCTGATCTGCATGCTTTTTTTTCCTTTCTCTTGTGTTATTGTTCCAGCCAAGACATCCAGTACTATGTGGATTAAGAGTGGAGAAAGTAGACACCATTATTATGTTCCTGGCTTTAGCAGAAATATTTTTAATTTGTCATATCAGGTTTGCTGTAGGTTTGTCATTTATGGCTTTATTATGCTGAGATATGTTCCTCTTATTCTTAATTTCCTCGTGGTTTTTATCATGAAGAGATGTTGGATCTGTCCAAGGCTTTTTCTCTATTCGTTGATAGAATCCTGCAATTTCTGTCCTTGAGACTATGGCTGTATTAAATGTGTTGATTGTATTTGCTGCGCCATTGCTGCGTACGTGAGTGAAGACAGCTTGATCATGGTGAATGCACTTTTTGATGAGTCAATAACTGTGGTTTGCTAGTATTTGTTAAGAATTTTTGCACCTATGTTCATTACAGAGATTAGCCCATAGTTTTCTGTTTTCTTTTTTGTTCTGTGAAGTAAATGTTGTTGGCTTTTTTTTTTTTAAAAAAAAAAACAAACTCTTTTTGCTCTTTTGGTGGGCCCGCCACCCAGTTCCCAAATAATCACAGAGGAGACTTATTATGAATGTTCTGCCTTAGCTTGGCTTATTTCTGGCCCCCTTTAAAAAAATTATCTCATCTATCTTTTGCCTCTGGGCTTTTACCGTTCTCTATTTCTGTATACCTTTCTTTACTTCTTACTCTGTGGCTTCCTGTGTAGCTGGGTGGCTGGCCCCTGGTGTCCTCCTCCTTTTTTTGCTCCTCAATCTTTTCTTCCCAGATTTCTCCTCCTATTTATTCTCTCTGCCTGCCAGCCCTGCCTATCCTTTCTCCTGTTCATCTCTTTATTAGACCATCAGGTATTTTAGACAGGCACAGTAACACAGCTTTGCAGAGTTAAACAAATGCAA